TTTCTGCAAACGAAGCCTTGCAGGTGTACCATTTTTATTTACCACATTTGAAATGATAATAGGATTTCCAAGCACAATGAAATGGGCTTTTAGAAATGTGGTATTTTTGGATAAAGGTGATGATTTGAAACTTAAAGTAGGCAAGATTCCCAGGAAAGTATGGCGACCGGAAGAGTATGGTGTCAAGGACAGAACTGTGAAGTTCTTAGTTAGGGTAACAGGGAGAAAATAGAGCCAGAGAACAACAGAGATGAACTGTCAGAGGAGGAAAACGGCAGTGGAGCTTTCTGTGGGTGAGTGTAGATGTCCTTGCCTCGTTCCCAGGACTTCTTCAATTTGTGGGAAGAATTCGGTGGTTCATTATGAAGTATGACACTATCTGTAGAATACTATGGAGTGGAAGACTTGTTCTAGTCCTAGACTGCTGAAAGATATTTGCCATGAATCTGTTTATTTTTTCTGCCTTTGAGATTATTATGTAAATTTTTTAGGCTTTTACTATGGTAAATTGAATGATTGATTTTCTAATTGATTTTCTTCATAGCCATGACATATTATCTTTCTTATATTGCTAAGTCCTATTTGCTAAGAAATATGTTTATTTCTGTTTTGAAAGAAATCCTCATCTAGATCCATGAGAGATCTCAGGCTGTAATTTTTTGTAAAGTCTTTGTTCAGTATACTAGAGCCAAACAATGAGTTGGAAAGTCCTCCACCCTCTTATTTTTTGGAAGAATTTGTCAACAATTGGTATGATTTCTTTCTTAAATATTTAATAGAATTCCAAGTAAAAACCTATTGCCTTGGAATTTTCTTTCGGTTTTTTTTTTTTTTTTTTTTTAGTACTGGAAATCGAACTCATGACCTCAAGCTTGCCAGGCAAGCACTTATGTGCTGAGGTATATCCCCAGCCCCCTACCTTGGAATTTTCTTATACGGGGTTTTTTCTTTAACTTTTGAGTAGGTTGTAGGACTATTAAAAATATCTTTATTTTCTTGAATGAATTTTACTGCTTTCTGTCCTTCAAGGACTTTATTTTCCATCTGAATTATCCATTTTTGCTGCCAAGGTGTTCAGATTATTATTAACCTTTAATGTCTGTATAATCTGTGATAATGTCTTTCATTTACTGCATTTTTGTGTTTATTTTTACCCATTTTTAATTTTTTTCTTTTCCTACTTTCTTTTGATTATGTTTTATTATTCCCTAAAGTAGGTATTTTCTAGGATAGAAAGGAGGTAGAATAAAAACTATTATAAAACTAACAGAAAGGAGGTAGGATAAAAACTAATAAACTAATATATTGGAGCTGAAATTTTTTCAATAAAGTCAGAAGTGACATCATTAGCTGGGGTGGGGAAATTTTGTCACCTTATATAGAAGAAGTTTAGAATATTTGTTTTGGAATGTCTCTTTGGAAAACAAGGGATTAACATGGATTTCCAACTGTTAGTAAATTATAAAACTGTTTCTATGACTAAGGTATACTATGATCAAAACTGAAGGGTCTCTCCAAAATACCTTGACCCCCAAAATTGGAATATGTGAAAGAAATTATAATGGAATTATGGTAGTAGTTAGAAAAATTCACATTTCAACTTCAGTTTTACTAAACACCAGCTATATTTTCTCTCACTGAGAGTCTTAATCACTTTTCTTATCACCAAGACACAATCCACAACACTCAAAGCTTAAAACAGTTATTATTAGATATTTTGATGGTAGCCCTTTTTCCTGGAGTAAGATGGTATATCGCTGTAGTTTTAATATACATTTCTCCGGTGGCCAGCGATAATGAGCAGTTTTTTCATATATTTATTGGCCATTTGTACTTCTGAGATGTTTATTCATTTCAGTTGCTCATTTTTTGACTGGGTTTTCCATTGGGAAGTCTATTTTTTTGAGTTCTTTATGTATCTTAATGTTAACCTTCTGTCTGTGGAATAGCTGCCAACATTTTTTCTCACTCTTCAGATTGTTTCTTCACTCATGGTTGCTTCCTTTGCTATACAGAGCTTTTTATTTTGGTGTGATTCCATTTGTTGATTCTTCTGTTCAGAAAGTCCTTGCCTACAACTGTGTCTTCAAGAACTGTACCTACGTTGTCTTCCAGCAGATGGTTTCTGCTGTTTCAGAAACATGTTAGTATGTGTGCTAATTTGTTTCACTTACACAAATAGTTTGTCCTAGTTCACTGCAAATACAGTTTATATGTTACTATCTTTTTGCTTTTTTGTAGGAATTCTTGTGGTTTATGTCTTGTACTCTGAGTAACCACTCTGAAGATAGTGACATACATGTATTAACTATTGTACTTTTCCTATTATTTGGTTATAAAATTTTATTTTTTCATAAAATAAAAAGTGAAAAAATCCCATTTCCAAAATTTTTTAAAAAAAATCTTTAATCGGGAAAGGTTGACTTTGGCTTATGTTTTTTAGAAGTTCCAGTCCATGGTTAGCTGGCTCCAAAGAAAAAACAGCATGGCGCTGGGGAATGGCGGAAGAAAAGCTGCTCATCCCATGGCAGCCAGGACGTAGAGATTCAAGGGAGAAGCGAGGGAGGCGGATGCACTGTTTTTGGTCATACCCCAGTGACCTGTATCATACCCCAGTGACCTGTATCTTCTCATACAAGCCTCCCCTCCAAACAGCAAGGCGGTTTTTGTGTCCCCATAGTCCAATCACCTTCCATAAACCCCACCTAGGAGAGAATAAGGGTTTGGGGCGACACCTACATATTAACCATAACACTGAGGTTATTGGTCTCAGCTTCTTTTAGATAGCACATTTTCTTAGGAGTCTAGGGCTCTGGAATGATTGACAGCTATCTTTTCTGAATGTGAGGTACTCATTGGTTTACAAAGAGTACATAAGCTCAAGGGATCTTCAGCATTAGGTGAGTGAAGCCTTTCCCATATTCTCAGAGCTAAGTTGTCTGGACATCCCGGAAAAGGTGGAATTCTTGGAAGGAACTGATATTCTTGAGTGGAAATACAATGAATGGAAAATTGGCAAGCAAAGTGGATGCTTTGTGGAACTGCTGGTTTTGGAAACATACTGGCATAGTGATTCTACTCATTGAACTGATTACAATTTATATTGAACTTTTGTTTGCAAAAGCTATGATTGCATGAATAATGTAATGAAATATGAGTTCAGTTTAAGGGCTCAATTAGTTGATCTAAATCTTTTTGCCCATAGGCATCCTTTCATTTACATACCGAAAATCTATGTGATGAAAAATGGGAAAAATCACAGTATCACAGGAGTATTTCTTTTAAATTGCTTTCCCAATTACAGAATGGTTTTCAGAATGAAATTTTTCTCAAATCCTAACTTTAACTGTAGAAAATAACATTTTATATAAAAGACTGATCTAACTAGTTGCTAGGGTCAGAAAAAATAAAACAAAAATAAATGGACCCATCTCATTCCACCAATAGGCATTGTATTGGAGAATAAGGAAAAGAAAAATTTCTGGGGTCAGACTACCAGGGCTGTTGTTGCCTTTATAGTTTAATGGCTACATAGCCCCGGACACATTACTTCAGTGTCTACATCTGCAAAATGGAAAAATAATTGATCTCATAGGTTTGATATAAAAATTAAATCAATTAGTACATGTAGCAAGGCCTGGTACACAGGATATACTCATAGGCTGTCATTATCGTTACCAAGGTGAAGAAAGGTTAGACTGCACGCTGCCAGCAAGTTGGGGCTTTCACATATCAAGGAATATATAGGCTTTCGATGTCAAACTTTATACACACTTGATAATTATCCTAAAATTAAATCTTACTTAAATGTTATTCCTAAATTATAATTTAGGAATAAAATTGTCAAATGCCATCCATTTGCATTGACTTTCATAATTTAAAGGTTTTGTCTGGCATTTTGTATTTTCTCAAACATAGAAATCAATTCTTCAAGTACAATTTTAATGTCAATGAAAGTAGTTATAATTATGTTTTGGCATGTGTATCTTAAAACATTTAATAATATTTTCAAAAGTAAAACGTCACTAGGTCCTAAAAAGGTATAATTAAGGCAAATTTTGTATCTTTTATAAGTGATGAAAACCTACAGCCTCATGTTGCTAACTCTCCACATCATAAACTGATGGTAAAAGGCAGAGTGAAATATTTGAGGGGAAAATCCAAATTATATTTCCAATAAAGGAATGAATGGAAAACATAGAACTATATTATTTCCTTTATTCATCTTTTGAAATCTATGAAATAGATATATATTATATCCATTATTCTGATATGAAAACTAAAGCTCTCACAGTTTCACATCAGCTATTGGGCAAGGCTAACGTGTAGAGATCCAACTCGGAGTCAGATCCTAGCCGTTTGATCTCAAAGCCCACGCTCTTGCCATTGTACTTGTCTGCCTCCCAGAAGTGATGGACACCACAGAAGAAATTTAGTGTAAAATTTACGCCTCATCTACAAAAACAAAACTTCTCGAGCTTTTCAATATCTTATAATTCAACTAGTTTCAGTACCTTGAATAATATATCGTTGCATTTCATTGTAATCGGCATGTACCACTAATGCTTCACCTGAAACAACCTGTCTGCTCTTCTGTGGGTCTCTGTGTTTATGGAAGGTGAAGGCCTAATAACAGAAAGTGGTGTTTGGCTTTGCTGCTAACTAGACATTTCAGTGTGGGGGGAGACATTCCGTGGTGCAGAAGTCCTCCTCTTCCTTCATTCCGTGAAGGATAAGTACTCAGTGACTTCAAAGATTTGTGCAATATTTGAATGCTTTATGATATTATAAACTACATTGACTTTTTCTAAACATAAACTAGTTTCCTGTAACTGATTCTTTACTTAGAATATTCTAACCTGTTGGAAATCCTCAAGATTTACAAAAATAGTCTAAATAAAGGCTGTTGTGACAAAAAGAAAAAACCAAAATTGAGCTTTAAGAGCCTATAAATCATCTTAAATTCCTTACCCTTTGATTTTAGAAAATCTTGAATTTTCTTTTCCGCATTTTCCATAGGACTATTTTACAAATGCAAACAAAGAGTTGAAGAAAGACACCCAGCAAGATTACCACCTGGAATATGCCATGGAAAATGATACACACACAGTAATTGAGTTTACCAGAGAACTGCATACATGCGACATAAATGACAAGAGCATAACGGTAAGGAGATTGTAAGTGGATGCAAGCTAGAGTAAGTTGTTTATTTGTGTTTGTGAAACATTTTACAGAATAAAAAAAATAAATAGAGATAATGTTTGAAAACAAAATCATGTAGTCTTCAGGAATATTTTTGAAATCTCTAGAAATGCCCACTCTCCTCCCAAAAAATTAAGACTATCCATTTCAAGCAAAGTAGTTTATATACGAATTTAACATTTTGAGGAGCTGTTTAAAGTTTGTATGATCTTGCTCATAGATGCATTTCAGCTTCTATGTAAAATTCAAAAATAGGTGGTAGCTAAAAGTTTGAAGAGATGTACTACTAAAAAGAATTATGATAACATTCATCTGATTTGTAACTGATTTGTCTTTGTAAATATCTAACATCAAGATGAATACTCAGTTGATTATGATAGCCTACTGGCATATTACACAAGATTTCTTACTTTCAGATTTCATGCAAAAATTGATATCGTTTTGTGTATGCAAATGAAATGTTTGGAGAATATATAAATCATGTGGCACTTGGAAAGTTCCACAAATTGCTTGCAGCAGTTTCATTTTTTATAAGGCCAATAAAATTATCCTTTTATTCAATAAATTAAAGCTTTAAAATGGCAATGTAAAAAATCTAAAGTAATTCTGATTAACATTCAGCTAAAAGAGGGAAACTGGGAAAAAAAGCACATGCTAAGACATGGATCGCTTTTTACAAAATATACAGTGTAATTATACTTTAATTGGAATAATAATTATAATCATTTGACTTATTGAGAAAGACTATAGCAAAGAGAACATCTAAAATCCATAGCTTTTGCTTTCTTTTCGATTCTCAAAGTTCTTATTACAAAGATTTGGCAAAAACACCTTTATCTGTGGGAGGGCTGAATTATTTCTTTGCTTCCCAGCAAACCTTTCCAGCCCCACAGCGCACTGGGCAATGGCTTTTGGTGGCTCGGTAGAAGAGCTTACAGTACTTTCCCTAGGTGGAGTACACAAGTCCTTTGGAAATTCTCAGGATTCATAAAGGGATTGTGGATTTATTCTACTGTAATAAATAAAGCCAGAATCTGAAATTTCTTCTGCACTTCCACTTTCTGTAAATTCATACATGTAACTGGACCAGTATCTAGGAAAAACTAATTGTAAAAAAAGTCTTATGGCAATTTTAATTTTCACTCTGTTTGTTTATTTATGCTAAAATACCCCATTATATTAAAACAGATTTTCATTTTTCAAAGTCTCTGCTGCTTAACAAGCATTTTTGCTTGGTGACTGCTAGTTGCTAGTTGAGCATTTTGGCATGACCACGCCCTCCTCTTGTCCTGTGAGAGAATATAACTCCTAAGACAATTGTCTTTCACTCTGATTTGGAACACTTCATGCAGAGACATGACTCCCATAAATAAACTAATCTATTTGGATCCTTAATCATACACTCAAATACATGAAATTAATATTAAAGACCATGTTGAGAACTCCAAATGTCATTATTATTCTCTTCTCTTCACTTTTACATCCTGCTTTAAATAAAATTGTTTACACTCAGCTAAGTGGTAGGGAAACTGCTCTGATGTAACATAATGTGCCCCTTTCTGGCCACCAGGATAGCACGGTGCGAGTGATCTGGGCCTATCACCATGAGGATGTGGGAGACACCGGTCCCAAGTACCACGACTCCAACCGGGGCACGAAGAGTCTGCGGTTACTCAATCCTGAGAAAACCAGTGTGTTGCCGACAGCCTTGCCATATTTTGACCTGGTAAATCAGGACGTAAGTTTTTTCAGGTTTTATGATTGTGGAGATGGGTTTAGTGACAAAGTACAAGACTCTCTATTCCTATTACTGCGCTTAACAGCAAGTCAACAAAATGTGACTCTGTTTCCTTCTGCCCTTTTTATTAAGACAGGTCCCCATCCCAAACAAAGGTACGACGTACTGGTGCCAAATGTTTAAGATTCCTGTGTTCCAGGAAAAGCATCATGTAATAAAGGTATGTAACTCACTCAGGGGGCCAAGCTTAATTGGTACGAGTGGGTAAAGGAATTGCTGTTTTCAAAATGAAACCACTGAGAAATGTAGAAGAAGGAATAGTGTTTCCTGACCCAGACCCTCTTTTAGGAGTTTAGAAGCTTGGATTATAACTAGTATTTAGATTATCTCCTAATTTTACATGTCAATGGTAAAAGTTTTGGGGTGTATTTGAAGTACTCTAGCTACTTCTTTAGGAAATAATCCTGCAAGGGGAATTGCTGGGATAACAATTTAAAATACATTTGCATGTTGGTAAATTCTATCCAAGAAACTTATTTTCTTCTCCAACATTGTTTGAGTATCTGCTTCATTGAAAATAGTAGATACTATCATTAAAATCATTCTTGTAGCATTTTTTAAAATAAGAAAAAAGCAAATTAGTAAATTTCTATAGACATTTTTAAAGAGAAAATATTGCTTAATAAATAACCTCAGTTATCCTGTGGCACACAGGTTCCTCCCTGTCTCCTGAGATGGACCTCCCAAAACTTTTACATCTTGTTAGTATGTTTTAAAAGTTACAGTTCCGTGGTTCTGTCCTAGTAATTGTTGGCCGTTCTGTAGAGTCTGGAGCTTATGATCTATATTCCTAAAAACTTACAGAGAGATTACAAGAGACAAGGCCAAAACATAACAACACAATAAATTAGTGCATGTGGAGTACTATAAATACCCAGAAGGTCAGATATTGCCACCTTTCTGCCAGGCCTAAGAGTATGTAAAGGAACAGCATGGCTGTAAGAAAGGAGTAAATGTCTAGATTCTAGGAATTAGAGGGGAGCATGTGGGCTGAACTGCTGGCCCACCCTACCATTAACTCTTTGTCCTGGGGGAAGTCATTCCAGGTAAAGCTACAGGCCTTGTTCTCCTCATCTGGACAAGGTGGGCCATCATAACAGTTGCCCTATCCACCTGAAAGGATTTTAGCTGGGAAGAAAACACTGAGCACATTCTATACAGTGGCTTAGATTGGGTAATTTGTAATGCATTTGACAAGTTGCACAGATCTAGCTTTTGTTAGCAAGAGGCAAGTTGGAAGCTTCAAACTATATGGGAGTGAGTTGGAAGGGTGAAGCCATATGTAGTCCTAAATGTTTGTGGGATATTTTTGCCAGCAGAAGCCTTACCAACAATCTAACTTGAGATGAGTCATTTACTTCTGAGTAAGAAGTTATTTTGTACTTTGTACATGTGAAGGGGGAAATGCAGATTCTAATCTTAGCTGCTTAATACAGTATTACAGCCCCTTCCTATCTCAGTGAAGTCTTTCTCAAAGAGAGGCTTCTACATTTATATAGACCATGTGTCTTTTGCAATAAATTTAATTGGTACTTGGATTAAAGAACAAGTAGAAACCTGTAATTTCAGAGATGAAAACAAATGTGCCACAAATAAGTCCTTTATTCATTTTTTAAAATTTTGTTTATTTTATTAGTATGTGTTTTCAGTGCATGATGGTTACAGTCACCATGGGGAGTTGATACATGTGCATAACTCACCTCAATTTTTTTTTATTTTTCACAAGCATTCATTGCAGAGATGTAAAGTCCTTAACCATTTACATTAATGCACTTTTCCTTGTCATTATTTATGGTAATAATTGAGTTGAATGAAATAAAAATAATTCTCCACATTTAAAGGATGTCAGTATATATTTCAACTATGGATATTTGCTTAATTCCTCACCCAAGTCTTCTTGGTGAACTTTTCTATCACAGTAACAGATGAGTGGGTTGAGGATTAAGTAGTTTTGGAACGACATTGCTTTCCTCACTTGGTGGTTGTATGAAGGGGGTCTTAAGTGGCATGACAGGTATAGGGGTGTTTTTTGGCAATAATTAGAGGTCCACCAAATATAAAACATCTTCACCTTAAGTAAGAGGATTTTGAGGGAGGGACAGCAGGTCTCAGGGGGGTATTTATGCCAACTGTTGTCATTGCAGGGTTCCACTAATAGCTAGAATTTAAAATTCTATTATTACTTAAAAATACCACTTGCAGGATAGATTCCTGGACTAATTGTTTAGCCCTAAAATTTATTAAAGTTCACTGAGCGTTATGAAACAGCTACCTCAATAGTGAATTCAAATAAGATAACATACAGAAAAAGAGAAATTTTTGCTGCGAAGATAAATTCCAAGTATTTGTTATATAAGTGGTTTTGAGGCAATTTCCATAATTAGCTTTAATTTACAGTTGCAATAACTTTTCAATAAGTTTTTGAAGTAGAATTCATTGGTCTAGAACTTGCCTTAAGAACTCATCCAATTTCCTTTTTTATTTCTTGGTAGAAATTATTTCTAATGACATGAGAAAAGTGATTCTTTTCACAGAATCAAAGACTCCTCCCGTTTGAAAAGCTATTCAGTGAAGTGCTGCTTCTTCTTCCTAATTTTATGCCCCACAAATCACCATACCAAAATGCCTCGGTCTTTCTCTAGTTCAGAGAAAGAATACTTTTACAGAACATTGCTTTTGTGCTGTTTAGGGAGGAATGTGTCCTATGCAGTGAATTTTAAGAATATTGATAACAGTTATATTGACAGAAATCAGTTTCACTGTCTGGACTCCAATTCAAACAAAGAAATAGTTTGTTCTTTAGCTTAAATGTGGATACCATGCATAGTATACACCTCATACATAAAACAACCGTAAAAGTAAGGTGATAAAAACATTTGTGCTTAAATCAGGAATGTTTGTGGTCTGATAAAAAATATGGTAAATGTTTAAATTTTAAAAATTGATTACAGTGAGAGGACACATTGCATTAATTCACCTCAAAATAGTCCCTCTCACTTTGAACATGCTCATCTCATCGTCCTTTCCTACTTCCTGAAGCAGTGCTGGAAAACCTCTTTTGTGAGTCTCTTTACTTACGTTGTTGTGGCTACCTCATTGTCCTGAATCAGTTCAAACTTTACCTTTCTTAGTCACTTTAAGTTTAAAGAAGAGCCAGACCTGATGAATAAAATGGGTGAGGATTCACTGTAATATTTTTATGAGCCTCCCTTTCCATTGGATGTCACTTGACAGCAGCATTCACTATAGTTGTGATCACACATCTCCTTGAGACTGTAAGGAAAGTGGGACTTCCAGAACTGCTTCAGAAAGTGGCCAGAATGATGGGTTAAGTGTGTTTGAAGTGGGGCAATATTTTTTTGTCTGCTTTTTTATTTTAAAGAGAGTAGTAAATGAGACACAAACAAACAAAAAATAGAACAATAGCAGCATACCAGTATCACAAACACAAACAAACCAAAGCAAGAACATTTAAAGTGATACAGAGTTTCAAGAAAAGATAATATGAATTAACAGTGGTTGTTATATTACATATCGCTATCCTCAACTACATTGCTCAGATGGGCAGATGTAAGAATGGAAGATTGTTCAAACCATTCAAGAGAATAAGAAAATAATTGTTAAATAAAACATTAGCGATAATACAGAGTTTCACTAGACAAGATGACAGGAATTCACCATGGTAATTCCATTGCATACTGTTACCTTCAAACCTGCTGCCCAGATTACCAGACACAAGCATGCAAAATTGTTCAGAACATAAAAAAATGTAAGCATTAACTATTCTTTTCAATATACCATTAGACATCAGCAATACAGTTATCGCAGCTATTCATATATACATTTATGTTTTGCCTTCTTTCATTTTTCTTCTTTCCCTCATCCCAACCATTCTTTCCTTTGAGCAATTTCTTTCCCTTTCCTATCATCTATTGTATGTTTTGAGTTTTACCTAGTCTTTCAGGTTCCTACACCAAGGAGACAATATGATGTTTACACATGTGGGTCTGATTTATTTCACTTATGAGTATGGTCTCTAGTTGCATCCATTTACCTACAAAAGCCTCAAGTTTATCTTTTTTTATAACTGAGTAATACTCCATTGTATAAAAATACCACATCTTTTTTATCCATTCCTCAGTGGAGGGGAATCTGGGTTGTTTCCAAGATTTAGCTATAACAAATTGTGCTGCTATAAACATGAGTGCACATATATCACTGTGGTATGATGTCTTTAATTCTTCTGGGAAAATACCCAGAAGTGGAATAGCTGGGTTAAATGGGACTTCCAATCCTAGTTTTGTGAAGAATCTCCAAATTGATTTCCACAGTGGTTTCACCAATCTACACTCCCATCAGCAGTGGAGTAGGGTTCCTTTCTCCCCACAGCCTCTCCAGCATTTATTATTGGTTGATTTCTTGATGATAACTATTCTTTCTGGGGTGAGATGTAATCTCAGTGTTGTTCTTTGCATTTCCAAGTGACTAATGATGTTGAACATTTTTCATGTATTTATTCGCCATTAGTATTTCTTCATTTGAGAAGTGTGTATTCATCTCAGATGCCCATTTTTGTATTGGGTCTTTGAATTTGGGGGACCTGATTTTTTAAAATTCTTTATATGTCCTAGATAGAAGTCCTTTGTCTCAGGGGCAGTTGGCTAAATTTTTTTCCCAATTCATGGATTTACTTTTTACTCCATTGGTGATTTCTTTAGATGTGCAAAAATTTTTCAGTAAGATGAGATCCCAGTTGTTGATTCTTTGAAGTATTTCCTGTGCAGTTTGGTTTTTGTTCATGAACTCTTTGCCTACCCCAATGTCTTCAAGATTTTTACCTACTTTCTCTTCCAATAAATTTAGTGTTTGTGTTTCAATATTTAGATCTTTGATCCATTTTGACTTTAGTTTAGTGCATGGTGAAAGACATAGGTCTAGTTTTAGTCTTCAGCATGTGAAAAGCCATTTTTTCCAGCACCATTTATTAAAGAGGCTTTCTTTCTTCCAGTGAACATATTTGGCCCCTTTGTCAAAGATAAGGTGACTGGGTGTGTTTGTAGTTGTATCTGTGTCTTCTAATCTGTTCCATTGCTTCAAGTCTGTTTTTATGCCAGTACCATGCTGATTTTATCACAGTGGCTTTGTAGTACAATTGCAAGT